CTAAAAGCTATCAATGTTGATACTTAAACAAAAAACAGCTTTTTCATATATTTAATGGAGCTATAGTTCACTCACAATAAAATGTATACATGTTAAAGATAGAGCTGAATGTGTTTTTGACAAATTGTGCATCAAGGTAAGCAAGGTATGGGATATGTATGTCACCCTATAAAGTTCTTCCTACCTACTGTCAGTTTCCCCTCTCTAGTCATTTCCCAGACCTAGAAAAACTCATTTGCTTTCTGTCAAAATAGGTTAGTTTTGCTTGTTTATAAACTCTGTATAAATGGAATCTTACCAAAAAGGGAGACCTGGGTAAGGTGTAGCTCAGCAGTAGAGTACTTGCCTATGTATAAATCCCCAAGCATACCAAAAAGGAAGACAGGAAAAAAAAAAAAAAGAAAAAAGGAAAAGAGAAAAGAAATGCAGTTCTTTGATTACATTAGCCATATTTCCAGTAATCGATGGTCACACATGGTTCATGGTCACTGTACTGGGTAGTTCAAAGCATTTCTGTTATTATAAAAAATGCTACCAGACAGTGTTGTATTTGAATATTTAAGATTCACCATCCTGAGCACACTGACACAGGATGAAAAATAAAAGTCTGGTCTGCAGGAGAAATAAGGATGAGTGCTTTATATCTAAAATGTCCTCCAAAGATTCATTCACTCCCTCCCATGTGGGGCTTTTGAAAGTGACAGGATCATGGGTATATGATAACTCAATTAATCCTCCGATTATCATACTTCAGCATGTGGCTGAATGGATTTACCGAAGACAGATTAACTACTTTGGATAAGGGTGACACTAACCAATGCGGCTGTTGTTTGACTGGAATAAAAAGGGAAAGGAAGGCTCACTGCTCAGCTGCTTTCTCCCTACCCTGCTATGGACTGCTTCTCCTCTACCATGCCCCTTTGCCAAACCACCCTGCCTTAAAGCCAACAATGAACTAAAACCTCTACAAGCTGCGAGTTAAAATAACTTCTGCCACCTCATGCTGGCATTAGGCATGCTTCAAAGTAACAGACCTCTAGT